CTTTTGCTTATCAGTAAAAAAAGAGTGAGAAGATGAGGAAGAAGAAGATGAAGATGAGATGAAAAAATACAAAATAACATGATTTGGTAAGTGATATTCTGGGTAATGGTTATCAGAGGCAAACTTGGTTAACATTGTTGTTTCATGGTTGATCATTTCTCGCTGAATTATAATCACAGTGATGGTTATCAGATTGATGAAGGTCATATCAAATGTGACTCACTTTTCAGCAAACTTGATTCTCATCTCTTTATTTCCATCATTTTACACATTCACTGACAATAGAAGAAGATGAAACAGGGTGGAAAAAGGATCATCATCATGATGATGAGAGCGATGAGCAAAGGAAAGATTTTGATATGTATCGTTTAACTGTTTCCTACAAATTATGGGAAAGATCAATATTGATCTTTTTTCTTCTTCTTTTCATCTTCTCATGAAGTAGCAAAACGAAGCAACTATTCAAACTAATGAAAGGAACCTATTTTTGCATCCATTCTCATCATCTTCAGTCTTCATCTTTACTCTCATTTTTTCTTCCCTTTCCTTTCTTTTCTCATCATTACGATTCTCCATTTATCAGGAATGGCGAGACAACTGTTAAAAAATTATGTTATCTCAAAAATCTGGCAACTTAACTGAACATTCTGTTCGACTGACAACCTCTTCATTTCAACGAATATCAATTTAACCATTCAGTTTAATTTCAAGCTTAATTTACTAACATTTCAAACAATAATATTTTATTGTCTTGCGTCAACATTGATAATTAGTTTTGTTCACGAGTTCAATGACTTGTTTAAATCAAGGTTTGCTTTGAATGATTAAAGCCTGATTCATCTAATTATGAATTAGCTTTCATTGTTTTTGGCTTCTTTGTTTTCCAATCGACTTATTCAGTGCAACGAGATTCAACTGTTGTGCATGAGCTTTGATGAGATTAAAGATGAAAAGCAGATTAAACAGTTGAAGATCAAAGGATTGAGACACTTGCAAATCCTTTGGTCCACAATTAGAGTCCATATTAGGTTATAAATCGTATTGATGCTCAAGATTTGCTCTCATTAAACAGAAACTGTTGTTACAGAATCACTTGCATGCAGCATTTTGTACTGAAACAAAATTTCGTATCGAAATGAATTCTTTGAATAAAAGAAAGCAAATAGCGTTAATACAAACGAATGCATTGAGTTTGACGGTGCTTTTCATTTACTTTGCGCATCCAATTCCCATCGATGTGATAAGATTACAATTAGGCATTAACCGTATATTCATCTATCACACCAATGGGAATTAGATGCGCAAAGAAAATTAAAAGAACCGTCAAACTCAATGCATTCGTTTGTATTATTTACAAATGTAAAGCCAAGTTTTGAGTAAAAAAATAATCAGCAATTGACAAGTTCAAAAGTTTATTTGTATTTTGAGCCATTCATCGCATCAAAGTGATGATACCGTTTCAGTGTCAGAAGAGTCATCATTTGAAGTTCAATTACGAAGTTAGCTCAAAGTAAAACTTATTTTACCTTTCAATTCAATACTTGATCATATTGTATTGCATGAATAGAATCCTTCCAGTAAATTTTAGTATATTTCAGGAAAACCAATGTTCTTTCAAATAGCTCGAAACGCAAAGTTTAAAATAACCAAGTGGACATGAAAATCAAAACATCCAGCTGAGTTTTCCATGATTCACAAATGATTAAAGCAAATTCTCATCCAATTAAACTCGAAAGCAATAAACTTTCTGATAGATTGCAATGATAATGAAACTCGTTCGATAGCTTTTCAGACCGGTACTGTAACTCGATTGAATATCTTGCACCTTTGTCTGCAGTTGATACAACATATTTTTGGTAATAATTTTCATTGAGTCTTTGACACCAGTTAGCTTCACTAATGTTAAGATGCTACCGATTCGAATATTCAGAGTGCTTCAATAAATGGCATGATTTATTGTTCTGGAAGCAATTGGGGTTCTGTTGGCTAATTTGCCTAATATTGAACTTGAATTGAGGTGAAAAATTGATTAAACATTTGAATGGTTTAAAAATATTGCTAATGAATAGAGAAACAGAAAGGTAAACCAAAATGCTTGGAGTGACAAGTTTACAGTTTAACAAATGTGACTGAATAGAAGCAAGTTTCAATTGGAGTTGATGGATACGCTTTCAGTTGATCGCCCCTATCATCACCATCATCCTCATCTTCACTTGTAATTGTTACTTGAGGCTATGTTAACAAGTCACTGGTTTCAAATTATTTTATCCTTTACTTTGGCGCTTCCCAAATGTGAATGTGTATTAAAGAAAAGTAAATAATGGAAGAGAAGAAGAAGATGAAGATGAAAGGTTATCATTGATGAAACCACGTTTAGTTAACGGTTTATCGCCCTTGAGGGCATTTTCAGTGAGAATTGAATTTACATGAAGCAAAATAATCTAAATAAAATAAATATATCCAGAGACACAAAGAGACTCATGTACGACTGCTAAATATTAACAACAAGCCTTTTCCTTTTCAAATTTTTCACCCAACTTTGATTAACAATTCTGAAACACGAAAAAAAGGAAACAAACATTAACTCAGTTTAATCCCTCAATTCAGGCTAATTATTCATATTTACAGAAGAAAGAGCAATAAAAATAAATTTATTCTCTTCTCTTTATCTCTTTTCGTGAAACAAAAATTTTATGGTCAAACATCAACAGCTTATCGAGACTAAACTTTTCACCCATTTTCATGGCAAGAGAGGATAAAGAATCTGGAAAATGAAAAATATGCAAAAAAAGATAACTTTTATATTCACTTGAAAGTTATGGAGGAAAGAAGTTGAACATTTTGTATTTTCCTTTACCTGATTCTTAGTGTGGATTTATGGTTCATGATAAACAGATATTTCAAATTCTGAATCATTATCCTAAAGAGTGTCGAGATTTTGCTGCAACTGAAACAAGAAGATGATAAAATAACATCTTACTTCGACAATTCTCATCATCATCATCATCATCATCAATATATCAAGGTACATAATAATATATAATGATGATGCTTTGCTTCTGATAGTTTCTTAATATTGAAAAGAAACTGAATGGATAAGAAAAATGCTTATTATTACCAAGAATATAAAAAAAATATTCCAAGTTAAAACTTCTTTATTCTTATCTTGTCGAAGTTTCACTATTATCTTTGCTTCTCCTCGCCTGTTAAATAAAACTTGAACGATTCCAGGGAATGATGATGATGATGGAAAAGGACAATTTTCGCTATTCTTTCCTCTTCTTCTTCTTCTTCCAACACTGAAATACCATTTCCGGTTCAAAATGATAACTTGAAATGTTAATGTTGAAAACAAAATATATCTTGTGCTATGCTAAGAACTCGTAATATTACACTTTTCAAGTTGATCACAATTTCATCTTCAAATGGCAATTTCGCCAAATTTTATTTTAATGGAACCAAAAGTTCTTCAGATTCCATCATAATTGAAATCTTTTAAAATTTTACTCAAAGAATGTTCAAAAGATGAATTCCAATCAGTCAAAAAATGTTCGTTTGTCAATTAGAAAAGTTCTATACAAACTAACTTGAGAGTTTTTAAAATTGAATATTTCTTTAGATTAGGTTTTCACTTGAACTTGAAGAATATACATGCATTATTGTGATTAGGAAGCTGGAAGAGATATAAATAGTTTGACTGAAATCACAGAATTCAAATATTGGAGTTCTTTGAACAGAACTTTGTAAGAACATATAAGCTGATAAAATTCTGATTTGATTATTCAATTTATTTTGTTTCTATCGAAGTTAAAAAAGAAATTGTCAGAAAAAAATTTGTTGGCCTGAACCTGAATCCTGACCTTCTAATTGATTTGAACTCCTTGTCCAAGTTTATTGAATAATCAGAAAAAATATGAAGAAGAAATGGAAACTCGAAATGATTGAGAATCTTTGATTTTGCCAAAAATCCTCGTCTGAAACGAATGTAAATCATTCGCTGTTTTGACTGAGATAATTTTCTGTCTCTAAGCCTTGTAACGAAAACTTTCAAGAATTATATTGATCAGTTGGCGAACATCTATTGAATAAGAAATGACCCACATGATAACCATGATAGAGGACCATTTGGAGTATTTTAACCCTCAGTGCCAATCGTTTCAACTGTTTATCTTCCAATTAACTCTCTGCTCTAAACGATACTCTCATCGATTCCATCATATCATAGCTTCATTATATCAACATTTTTATGGTTCATTAACAAAGAACCCAAAGTAGCAATTTAATTACTGACCCTGATCAACAATAAAATCAGAAAATAATGTTTCCCTTCATTCATTATGTTAAACAAAATGTTGATTCCTCGCTCCTTCCATGAAGTCGATGAATATTTTGACCAGTCAATTATGTTTTTGTCATTCCCTGTTCAATATTATTGCAATATGATCATCAATAACAAATGTTTAAAAGTTAATCGAGTGAAAGTGAAGAGTTGAAAAATAGTTTAAACTTGCGGAAAGAGAAGCAAAAAGTTATCAATTAACTCGTTGAGAGTAAAATGAAATTGAAATTGTGAAACATGAAAATTGTTTCATGTCAAACTGATAAGCTTTTCATTCAAGTTGCTATAATATTATAATAAAAATTCATGAGACTTGATACAACATTAATGTTGTAAAATAGTTTTGATGTGCACTTGAAACACTTGATTTATAATAATGATAATACAGGAAAGGCGAGGAATGAAAGGAAAAGAAGGAAAAAATGATTGAGAAAATCATGGTTAAGTGGTTTCCAGGAATATAATAATGAAATGTTCATTCAATTGCAACTGATAAATTGACTTATTACAATTGAGTTTATTGTTAACGACAATCCAATTAAAAAGCAATCAAAATATTGCAACAATATTCACAATTAATTCCATTCGCAAATGGTTCAATTGTTGAAAAATGAAAAGACAATTAATAATCAAAATTTTTCTCTTTTCTCTTTCATTTCAGGTTCCATGACTTTTCAGGCAAACGTTTACGATGAATATGTAATTCTTGGTAACATCGGTTTATTCAAATGCTATTTTCCCAACTTCCTTCGAGATCATGTTAAAGTTTCATCCTGGATTCAAGATGATGGAAGAGTCTTTGAAGACAAAATGCTTCCAAAGTCAGGTTGGGTCACATTTAACATTCATTAACACATTCATTTCCATTCACAGCAATCAACATTAGAATAGAAAAATTGATCCAATGAATGTTGCTCATTAGCATCATTAAAAGCTTCTAATTAGCAAAGTAAATCTGAATAAACATGAATATATCAAGTCAATCATCTTGCAACTTATCACTTGAATTTACTTTCAAAAGTAATTCAAGAAAATGTCTAAACTCGAACAAATTTCCACAGTTATTCAACTTATTCCAAGGTATTCTGACAATAACAGTTATTAGAAGTTTCTGTATCATCATGTTTACTTGGTAAATTATCATCTCTTTCGGTCAATTTTGTGTCACTTTTACTTTTATCATTCCCTGTATCATCTTCATCTTTCTCAAGATTCCCTTGCTTTTCCTGTCTTTCACATTTTATCTCATTCTTAAGTGTCTTTGAGATGTTAGCCAACAAAATTCCGATGCTTACTTGATTCAGTTTCTTTGCTTGACAGCCAGAAGACAAAGCGAACAATTTAATGGTTGGATGATTTGAAATAGCAATGAGTATCATGAAGAAGACAGATGAAGAAGTAAGTGTGAGCAGATGAGAATGGCAAGATAGAGCGAGACAATCTTCTTTGATAAAGGAAAAGTCGAGTTGAACAAAAAAAAGTTGAGCCTCAAATTTTCACCGGTTTTACTTTTCTTGTGAGCAAAGGAGGAAAAATAAGGTTACCTTTTAAATGTTGGTAAAAACGTTGTTACTTGAAACTTGTGATATCATTTCAGGCTGACTTACCTTCATCACATGAATTATCATCATCTTAAACTCGTCAGAACAATTGAGCATTTCATGTTATCATCAAATGTGAAACCAGTCGACCAGATAATACTGTTTATCCATAATTTTGATTACAATCATTCAATTTTATAACTTAACATCAAAATAATCTCATGTTTATGAGGTTATTCACGTGGAATCAAGATGGCCCAACAATCTAAAGATAGTCATTTAATAGAACACGAAAATTAGAACTTTCCAATTAATAGAAGATCAATCAATGTCGACTCTTTTGTTCCAACAATTTTCTTCCCATGTAACACTTTAGTATTCATCGAAAATCCGTGATCTGAGTTTAAATTTCAATAAATTTCTCCAAAAATAAATTATCACAGGTTGAGTCAGAAAACAATGTTAGACTGAGAAAGTCAAAGTGAATGAATCTTCTCTGAATGCAATATTCAGACAGTAATGATTATTTCATGAAAAAGAATAAATTTCAAGCTGAAATACAGAAAAAAAGATTTTCATTTTTTCTTCAGATTTTACCAATTCTTTCAAACCAATAACATTTAAATTTGTTAAACTCTCTATTCAAGAGATTGACTGGTGAACATTAATCGATTGTGAACTTATCTGTAATATCATGTATTAAACTTGAATGAGATGTAACCTGTCAATCAGTTGTCATTTGAACAGGTTACTTGTCAGTAGCAATCATGCACAAGTATCAAACAATTAGGAATAATCTTCAACTGAAAACGAAGAAAACAGATTTGTTTCATTTTCACCTTTACACCATTTTGAGATTAAATATTCTCAGTGAAAGAACTAGAGTTTATCATTTTCCGTTATTCCCTGTTAGTTGATGTTTCATTGCATCAAATTGAATGAAAAAAGGTCAAATTAAATGAAGCTTGAAACATTAAACAAAAACGAGAACAAAATGCATGGAAATGTCATCATTTTATTTCTCACTCAATTTTCAGTTGTTAAATCAAGTTTGTATCACAAAGGCCATTTGAATACAATTACATGATATTCAGTTTCATTGAAAGGAGAGAAACAAAAGGAAATTCATCATTCCCAGTGAATCCCAGTCACTCCAAGTAATCATCGATACAAGTTATTACATTTATCACTGAAGCAACTCATATTACTGAATATCACTTTTTTGTCACTCAAAGGTCTTATAGCAATTATCTGAGGAATTGAATGGATTGTCAATGGAAACATGGTAAAGCATCAAATTTCAAGAGTAATCCAAATAATCACATTTTCATCTCTCGTTATTGGGTAAAGTGAAAAATGATTGAAATCATTTAACCAGGTAACATTAACATTGTTGATGAGCAACAAAAGTTTACCTTCATTACGAGTTCACATTTATATTGCCTAATGCATTGTTTTTCAAGACAATAATGAACAAAATTTAGCCAAGCTTGTTGGGTGTTAAGAGTAATGGGATGATGAAGATAATGATGATTAGAAGTGAGTAAAAACACTGATTCTTTGGTAATTAATTCACTTTCTTTTCTTCTTTTCATATTCTTTTCTTTTCTTCTCTCTATTCTCCATTCTTTTCATCTGTGAATATAAAGATTAGACTCACTTGATTCTTGCTATTTTTCATGTTTCTCTTTCCCTGTTCACCATCATTCTCATCATCATTATCATCTTTCAAGTATAATACATTAAGAACCACAGAACTGTAAACAGAATTGCAATCCTTGTTAAGAGAAGAAAAAAAAGAATCTTTTCTTCTCTTTCTAACCTGTTTCTTTTTTTCAAGGTAATCAGGAAATAAGAAGGTAAAAGTAGAGAAACGACTTTGTCATGAATGAAGAAGATGATAAGGCAAGATTGAAGAAGGAAGATAATGATGAAAAGTGTTAACTGTTTGGTAAACAGAGTTAACCTTTATTCCAACCAAGGATTTTGTTCGTAAGCTGTTTATCAGACAAAACCATTTTCATCGCAAGTTTACTCTTCAATGATATCAAGACTATCATGAGTATCATGATATTCATTCTCACCTTTCTATACTCACCTCATCTCAATACTTCTTCTTCCTCTTCTTCCTTACTCTTTCTTGTTATCCTCTTTTTTATGTCTATTATGAGCCCCTTGGTATTCAATTGATTGAACTTATTCACACGCAAATAAGATAAAAGTGAAAAAAGTATAATTCTTTTAACTCTGAATTTGGATGAAACTGTGGTGTGATAGAGTGCAGATAAAATAAAGAAACTGAAATGTTGGGTGGAAAGCAACAGTTACGATGAGGTTAACCTTAATCTGAGAAGAATTTATCTTCAATTTATTGATCACGTGACTAGATTATATTAATCTTTACTCAAAAAGATCATCTTGAGAATAAGAATAAGGTGAAATGATAATGAGCATCAGGATGAAAGTGGATAAAAAAGTGTCATCAAAAGAACTTGGAATCTGAGAAAAGCAAAAAATGTTGCATTCTTAAGTGTATTTCAGATGTTAGCTAACAAAATTCCAATGCTCATGATACACTTTCTTGACAATCACAAGACAAGAAAGGTTGACTTTTCATCTTTAAATGTTGAATTCATTACTGTCGTAGCTTATGGTTTATAACAAACAGAAACAGTCAACGACAATAACCTTTAAAAGAGCACTTTCTGAACACTTCTTTCATATTGAATGTTTCCCACAAAATGTTCATTGAAATCGATCAGAAAATGGAAAAGCCTAATTCAAATCGAGAATCACAAGACACTTTCACACAGCAAAATCGAAATAAAAAATAACGAACCTTATCCGAACAAATCCGATTTAACCTAAAATTCGAACCAACTGTCGATCACTGAAACAGTCACAATTTAAAAGACAATTAAGGTCACAATTGACAATAAACCAATAAAGCAAGGATAAATGAAAGTCAGCAAAGAGAGAATGTTTTTCACTTTAATGTAAAATTAACAAAACGTGTTTAATGATAAAAAATAAAGTATAAAAAAGATTAAATGTTTAATCTTTAAAAACTGTTGCTATGATAACTTATTTTCTAGCGCGCATCTTGAATGAATTGACAAAGATTTGATCAAATTGTAAATTAAAAACTGGAAAAGAAGCTTTTCCCTCCCATTAATACTTAATATCGAAGGTAAAATATTTTCTGAAATGGGTTTAAAAATAGAATCGTGTTTTTGTAGGAAAAAAGTGAAACAATCACAAATATCCAAAGCTATCTGTTTAATACTCCATAAAAAAGGTTGATTCCTTGTTGATAGTTTTAACCTCCATTTTGACAGTTGAAACAACTTTTGTCTTCTCGTTTTACTTTTCATTCAAAAGCAGAATCTTTTTTTCATTTGGTTTTATAACAATACTTAACCTAAGCTCTGTCTCATATTGCACTTTCAACATTTCAACACGAGAAAATAATGAATAAAAAAGGCGAGAAAAAAGTGTTAATCTGAGAATTCACATAAATTAATTATTCTTACCTTTAGTTTCATGTTTAAACTGATTGTTAACAGGTTATTATCAACTTGAGATTAAACAAGAAAATGGAAAGAAGAAGAATAAAAGTTTCATTTGGTTGTTTATGGTTATAATATCAGGGAATGAGAAGTTATTAGATTCATAAAGAAAAACAGAGAATAATTTTTCGTTTGAAAAACCTTTTCCGTTCTCTGTTTTATATCATGCGATTTTTCAGCTTGAAGTTTAGTTGCTATTTCACCATGTATTATCATTATCAGGATCATTATCATTGGCCTTTGGTCTTCAAGAGACAATTTGTTTCTCATGTTTATTTGTGTTTACCTTTGTTTATCAAACGAAACCAAATGCTCATCATGATGTCTTCAATGAGCCTCAAGTGACTTCCATCAACACGGAAAATGCAATTTTTGTTTTCGCTCATTAAAATTATGATTCTCATTCTCAGTTTATTCAGCTAATCTTATTAATCTGATTCAATGTTTTCATTATTATTACGATATTTAGTCACCTTCATTCCCTTCAGAGTAATTACATTTGCAGCATAATTATATCAATGAAAGTAAATTTTAAATTATTAAAGCTCAACTTAATAAGAAAATAAATTGATTAAGGTTTCCACTTTCAGTTTGTTCAATGAAATTGTTTAATATTCATTAGATTTGACTTGGTTTGATTAAAGATTATCTTTACAATTAAAGAGACTCTTTAACTTGATTATTAGTATTTCTCTTGGGCTTAATCAAACTACTCTAATTATTGCTCTTGATTGTTTAATTTACGCGACTTTCATTCCTCACTCCCAGTCAATCCGAATATTAAACCATTTAGAAACTTGTTACTTTTATTAATAATTTATCTGCTTTTCATTTCAGGTTCAAGAATATTTAGTCTCAATGGTAACCTTTACATTGTTGGAGTGAATCGTCAAGACACTCACCATTCCTTCAAATGTCAAGTTCACAATTCAATTACAAACGAATTGATAACGAGCACTTCAAGCGGTAAACTAGTCGTAACTGGTAAGAAACTCATTATCAACTTATGTTTGGAAATGTACAAATGATGCGACTCTTTTCGAGCTTTCTCTTGCTTCGATATCAAGAACAAGAATAATAATTTTTCTTTTTAAACTGAAAGGCAATTTGAGCCATTTTCTGCATTCGTTTTAATATGCATTTCGTTAGCATTCCCAGTAGTTACCAGAATTATGATAATGTTATAAGTTATTTAATGGAAGCAATAGTGAGGTCAATCAATGGTTAATCTGATTGATTGTAATTGATTAAATTGGCTGTGAATAGTAACATTGACATAAAACAATATCATTTATGAAATTGACTGCAAACAGAATGTTTACTCGCCATTTACTTTTGAACACTTTCTTTATTTTCATTTATATTCACAATTCTAATCAATTTAATCAGTTGCATCAATTCCCAGAATCACAATTACCTGAGCCTTTATTCCTTGCCTGATAACTTTTCCTTTTCTTTGGTCAATTGTTTTTGTCTTCTTCAACTAATTTATTAATGATGATAATAACAATCGTAATAATAGTAATGAGATCCATTTACTTTTCTCATTTCAATTGAAGATCCAAATGGTAATGTGCAACCAAGCATCAGCAACACCCAACGAACCATTAAAAGTATCGTTGGAAGCACAGTTTATCTTCCCTGTGTTGCCCATGGATTTCCGGTTCCTCATTATCGTTGGTTCAAACGACACCAAGAGACGAATTTAAACACTGATATTCAAGAGTCAATAGTGCTTTCATCTTTACCTTCATTAGCCTCACCAATAAGCCAACGTTACAGCCTCTTAACTGGAACTGGAATATTAATCATTAATAATGTTTCTTCAAGTGATTCAGGTCGATACATTTGTGTGGCCAACAACAGTGCAGGTGAAGACCGCATTGTCTTTGATCTAACAGTTAAACAGCCTCTTTCGGTTCAACTTGAACTATTTAACACAATTAGTGGTGATATAATAGAACCTGGATTAACGCCAGCACTTTCGAGTTCTTCTTCGTCTTCTTCGCCTTCTTCTACTTCAGACTCAAGAGTCACTCTTGGCTCTCAATTGCGCTTACATTGCAAAATTACTGGTTATCCAATACATTTAGTTACCTGGTTTCGCGATGGTAAACCATTAAATCTCAATTCAACCTTCAATGGGTCCAGTTACTCGAATAGAATCAAATTGAACAGCTCAAATCGAATGCTAACATTATACAAAGTTAATAGATCTGATATCGGTTGTTATTCGTGTTCCGTTACCGGTGATTCAAGTGAATCGACAATAAGCTCAACAAAGTGTTTAACCTTATCCGAAGATGCGCCTCAATTGAAAGAAACATTTTCTGAGTTAATTACTTCGCCAGGAGAAAGATTGTCTCTCAAGTGTGTAGCAAGTGGAAACCCGTTGCCTACAGTTACTTGGACACTCGATGACCAACCAATCCCCGAAACGCACAGAATACAATATGGTGACTATGTTAGGTAATTTAAAGTTTTAAGTGCTATTGCATTCACTCCATCAAATCTGTTTAACCAAACTGCAAAAATCAATCAATTGCATCAATTGAACCTTTAAAAGTTTTCCAATTCTCTAGTTTCTGATTCCAAATATTGAAGAAATGAATGGCCTTAGCACGAACTTTAAGTATTTATGCTTCTTAGTCACTTCAAGGAATGAAATGCTGCCATAAATGTTCGAATAATTGCTATAAATAAAGGCTGCTAATGAATAATTCTCGCTCTAAACTTTGCTAAAAAGTTATTCTAGAGCCTGGAAATATATTAGATTGAAATAGAAAGTGGATTCGAAGCGATGAGCAAAAATGGTAAACTAAATATTTTAGTTAATAGTAAAGATTTACTCTTGAAAATGGTACAACATTTCATTATTATTGCCATTATCTTGCCTTTATTTCGTGCTTTAACATCAACATTTACTTTGGTTCTATTCATTTTCATTGAAAATAATCTAATATGATAATATAAACCCATTCATTTACTTTTTACACACATGAAGACATTTTATTCACAATAATATCCAGCTTTTCAATGAAATGTTAGAGCAAAGTTTTGCAGTAACAATTGCCTGTCAACATGTGTTCATAATATACAGGAATAAATATCCATTTATCTGACTAAAAGTATCATATTTTCGGTAAACAAATTCACTTTTCGCAATAATTTAGACCCTCAACATCGTTATCATTTTCTTCAACCAGTTTCTTGCGATTATCATTAATCAACATCATCTCAGATTCAGTTTCAGGTCAAGTTTAAACATTTTGCAACAAAAGTATTTCCTTGCTCTTTTCGTTCTTTTAATTCAACCTTTCTAGCTAAGGCATGATCTTTTTTACTTTCAATAGAAAGAAATAATTTCAGTCTAAAAACTTACATTTCTCTCATCTTAAAAGCTTGAAACATCGAAGCTATTTGAGTTGAAACAACGACTCATTGATCAAGTTTGTTGTGCCAAATTGGCTTCGTTGCAATCGGTATTAATCGCATTTCTTTTTACTTGTGCATCGGCTCCACTTGCAGTATGAATGGAGATGTTGTTAGTTATGTTAATATTACGAGTTTACGCTCTGAAGATGGTGGCTTATATCAATGTGATGCTCATAATGACGCCGGAAGTGCTCATCATTCTCAAATGATTTACCTTAAGGGTAAACCTTTCATCCGTCCAATGATTAACATGACAGCATTAGCGGGCCAACAAGTAAAGATACGATGTCCAGTTTCAGGTCATCCAATAACTCGGATTATATGGTTTAAAGGTAAGTCTCAACTAAATCAATTGTTTAGTCACTTGCATTGCTTTACTTGCAACTTTGCTTTTTAGCTGCAAATAAGCAATGAACGTGAATGTTACTTTCAAAACGTGAAAGAAGTTAGATGAAACTTCCATCAGTTTAGTGCAAAATTAACGATAAATGTTTGCTCTTTTCTTTACCCAGATGATCATGAACTGCCAATAAACGATCGTCAACGTGTTCATAAAAATGGATCTCTTATTATTAAAGAAGCTCGTCGTGATCTTGACGAAGGATTTTACAGTTGCAAAGCCTCAAATGACCAAGGAGAATCAGATGAGAAACGCTTTTATATTCAAGTACTTCGTAAGTTGAGCTTAATCTAGATACGAAAAGTCAGGTCATTCAAATAAAGCTTATAGTTAGTGTTTATCGCTAAATGCAAATAAGAAGCAAAGTTAACTACAAGCTTCTTTCAGTATAAGTTTTAACATAAAAGTTAATGTACACAAACATTGCAATAAGTCGCAACAAACTGCAAAATAAAGGAAAGAATTGCAATACAAACTGATTGTTTCTAATTCAGATACAATTTAGAGATCATCAGAGCTCCCGATATTTGAATGATCTGTCCGAGAATCTGTCTATTCTATTTATAACTTAGTTTTGTTGCTTTTGTTACTTCTGTTGCATTTTCTGACGCTTTCTTAAATGCTTTTCTTTTCTTGTTGAATCAAAACGACAAAACGATTTGTAGGTAAACCAAGTATAAGTTCATTCAGTTTTCCATCACATTTAACTGAGAAAATGCGAGTTATCATTACTTGCAACGTTTTGACTGGCGATCCTCCCATTTCAGTTGATTGGCTAAAGGACAATTTAACCATTTCAAATGACAATTTAGATGACGTTCAAATAACTGAATTAACTGATCTTGGTTCGTCTTTGGTTTTTCGTGATGTTAAACAGAAACATGCTGGAAGTTATACTTGTTTGGCCACCAACCAAGTTGGTCAAGACTCTTATACTGCTCAAATGATTGTAAAAGGTAAGTTCAACTGAACACTCGACTATTAACTCGATGATTGATATAATGAAGGATATGATTAATTTGACATTTCATTTCATTCTCAATTAAACTCAATTTAGATTCTTTTTTGTTTTCCTTTCATTTTCTGTCAACATTTTTCTCCCTAAATGTATATTTATATTTAATGAAGCAAATAATAGGATAGTTAATTGTTGACTAACGAGTAATTTGAATCCCTTCAATCTCCTTTCAAATAACCAATTGTTTACTAAAATGTGAAACACAAGGAAAAGGAAAAGTAAAAAGTAAAAATAGGAAGAAAAACGATGAAACTTGTAATCACATTTTTCAATCTTCCATGTTGATGTTCATGATGGAATATAATGTTTCATTGTAAATTGAGGGTTTGAAACAACAATTTGACATAAGATGATAATGGTTGTTCACATTTGTAATGTAACTTGATATTGCTCGAAATATTATTTATAAGAGAATCAAAACAAACTCATGAGTTGAAATTCTTCATCCAACGAAACAAACAACTCAACGAAGAGCAAAACTCGGCCAATAATTAGCCTTTCAACTTTGTCTGTCCATTGATTGAATAAAATCAAAGGACAGAAAGGAAAAAATCGAATCAAAACTGAAAGTTATAAAGTTACAAGTTCAATCCCAAGTGAAATTGACTCCAAAAAAGCCACAAAAAAGTATGTCAAATCAACGAAAGTCACAAAAAATTTATTATAACAAAACTTAACATGAATTTCGTTCAAATTTCAGTGAATCAGTGCAAGAGGAGTTCTAAAGATGGGTCTGTGAAGCCACATCATTTAGATATTTTGAGCAATTGACTTTCGTTGCAAATGCTGATGCAAAAGTGCAAAAGTTTTATAAATGCGAAGATTAATTGCTTTTCATTTGCAAAGTAAAACTTTTTTAGTCAGAATTTCCCAGTTCGTTGCAAAGTTATGAATTGAATGTTCGTACCAGTTGCTGCTCTTCTTGATTTATTCTTGACTCGAATCAAATCAGATTTTCAATTCAATATTGGAGGAATCGATTGCGATTTCTGTTGAAAGATGGATAAATAGATTACAGAATTTGTTGGATAACATAATCTATTGCCATAACCATCAGAATTACCAGATTGAAGGCAGCATTTTGTACCATAAATGAGATAACAAAGGGTTTATTTGGTGATAATGATAATAGAATTTTTGTGAACAAGATTGCGAACAATTAGGTTGATCAATAATCTAAAAGGATTCTAACAGATTCCAAAACAGTCAATTGAACATAAACATTATTTGGGCGATTTAATAAAAAAGAAGAAGAAGAAGCTTATCATTACTCTTTCACTGAAAAAGTAATTTATTACATCTCTTATAATATTTATCAATATAACTGTTATTATATCAGTATTTATCATTAGAAGCATTGGGAAGGAAAGAAAAAAGTTTACTCTTAACCTTTCAAAAGATTCAACTTCTTTTGTTATCAAAGGCTTTTTTACTGCACATTGTGTTGATTATAACGATGAGGAAACAACAAACAGTTAGATTACAGGGAATGGAAATAATAAGGTCAATATTTATTTGAAACCAAATTTTAAGTTGATGTTTCAATCGATACTTTCAAGTGTGATGAATCTCTCCTCATCATCATTATCACCATCAACATGTTAACATTTTTTTCACTTTCATGGAAAACTGAAAATAAAAGATTTTTCCAAAGAACAATCTTTTTTTCTTTCTTCTCCTTCAAGACATTTTTCTTGAGAGGTTAGGTGAAGTAATGTCTGGTTAGTTGAAGGATAATGTAAGAAGTTGAAGATAAAAAAGTGTCTCTCGGCTGGAGATTTGTCTTGGGATTGATGCTTTAATAACTTGACGGCAGAACAAGTTACAAGATGCTTTTATCTCGCTCCTTTCATCTTCATCTTCATCTTTTCTATTCGCTTTTCCTTTCTATTCTTATCTCAATAGCTTATGCATTATCGTTTTCAAGGGTAGGAATGGTCTGAGAGTAGCAACTAATCATAAGAATATTGATTCGAGTTTCGATTGGGATTTGATGAAAAATTGAAATAAACTGATTAATGCAACCAAATAAATTTTCATTTCATTTCAGTTCCACCAAAATGGATCATTGAACCAACAGATAAATCAGCAATTGTTGGTGAACGAGTTACTTTCGATTGTCAAGCTGATGGTTTTCCAATGCCAATAATCAGATGGAAAATATCAACAGGTAATTAAACACAAATATTGACAAAAGATGAATCAAGTCACTGAAAGGTTAATGTCGCTAAAACATTCAATTATCGAAATTCAATTCTAAAATCTTTACTTTAATCAAATAAACTTAATTTCGATCTCAAGTCTATTGAATGGAAAGTTTTTTGTCTACAAAAGTAAAGAAATTTTATGTTTAAAATGAATATTTTGTCATGAGTTTACAGCATTCAAAAGTACAAAACCATTAAAGGTGAAAATTGGGTTTGATAACATTTATCTTTTTAAATGGAGTTGAGTCTATTAAGTTGGAGTGAATGGCGGAATGAGGAAACTTGGAAACAGAAGCCAATGTGTAACATGGTTACAAATATGCATGTTGTGGAATCAGTTGATAATCTTGGAAGGAGAAGGAAGAAGATAAATTTATGATGAAAAGAGGAAACAATTGAGAAGCCAAACTCTAATGGAATGCGTCTTAATTATTTAAGGCACTTTCTCAACATTTCCTTTTTTTGCATTTTTCTTCTTCTCCTTGTCACTCCCAGACTTTTTTATCAATTCTGTGATTCCATTCCCTGTTTATCTATTCTTAACTTTTCCCTTGCTTCCAAATAGTCTTGACATATTTATTAATATCAATGAACTAGACGAACATAAATATACTCGAAATCGTCATTTATACGTTACTACCACCAAACCCAAGTTGAACTTGGTAAGAGTTTCAACTGTTCATCCTAATCCATCAAAATGATGTAGAATGAAAAATGAACTTTTGTTTTCCTTCTTTTTTTCTTGGTTTCACTTCTTTTTACCCATTAACTTTTGCTGGAGAGGTTGAGTTAGTGCAAATGAATTAGATGAAAATTGGATAAAAAAAGGAAAAGATAGACTTTTGTGGGTTATACTGGGAGGGAATACTGGGAGTTGCTTTGGATCATATTATTTATGTTTATAATGAACAATGTAACAAAAGGAATGAGTAAATTGTACAGATAAATTTCATTTTGATTTGTTTTTTATTCTACATTCAGTTCATTCCTAACTCGATCAAACATTCAGTTTATTCTTGCTTTAGATTAACTCTGCATAAGAAACAGTTTTGATGAAATAAAAATTACTTTTTAATTACTCAGTTTTCTGGCATTAAAACGATATTTGAATATAAAATATTTTAAAAGAGTAATTAGAATCAAATGATTGTGTTTCAAGATCAAGTCGAGAGTTAATTAAATTGTTAATATAAATGCTTGAAAGTTTCATTTCTGTTCGAAAATCTGATCATTTCATCTGGAAATGCATCAAAATCCAACAAATCTCAACTGTTCTTTCATGAAACGAAAACTTTTCTTGCTGTTTTTGAAACTCAGATGGAAGTGAATATTTTCTGTTGAAAGAAATGGCAAATCCAAATTCTATGTTTGAAAGCTTCCGTTAGTACAAAAGTCCAGTTCTTCTGATTCTAGAATCCATTCAAATTCTCAACTTGAATGAAATCCAAAGACAAGATATTGAAGCTTTGGTACAGTTTTATCAACTTTATATTACGATTTAACATCGTATAACAGTCGATTTTTGGCATTTTAGTCTCTGTATTATCGTAACCTTATGTTCATTTTTTGGTGTAATCTGAACTTGTAGGCAGCTACAACCGTTCAAGAAAATCAGATTGAACGGAAAAGATTAGAACGAAATTTTAAAATAGAAGTTTTCGAAAAAATATTCGCTTGGAAGGCACATTTTACTCTCCAATTTTCATTCTAATTGTCACATTTTCACATTCTTATTCAGTATTAGTTCAATTTGAACATTCTCATGAACTGACTTCAATGAAAGACATTTTTTCCCTTCCAAATACATTATTGTGAACAGTTTTGTTGCACTTTTCTGATCAAATGAACAATTGTTTAACAAGTTGAAAAATGTTCAATTGGATCAATTTAAATAAATTTTTCATTTCACTCTTTCTTTCAATCAAATTATATTCTTCCCTAACTTGATCTGATTTGTTTCACGGAATGCAAACTCCTATTTAATTAACCAATTGATTTTATCCATTGAATAAAAGATCGAAAGGAAAACGTTTACTCAAAATGTGATATTGAACACTTTTACAATGCAATAATGATATTGAAAAGTCGACTCCATGTTCATCTCTTCAGTCAACTCTAGACTTAACCATTCATGTAACATTTAAAGACAAAACTAAACGACTCGAGTAATGATAATAAAACTATGGATAACCTATTATTTTATTTTGTTGAGCACAAATCAAAGCTCAAAAATGGTCAATAAAGTGAAACATAATTTTAAATTGCTGAGCACAAAAAATTTTGATAACCTTTACTTATTTTATTATAGTCATTCAATTCACATAATAACAATAATAATGATGATAATAACGATAATATACAAGAACTTTTTTCAGGTTCACTTCAAGTTGAGATATTTTGATGAGATTAAATGTATCAAATAAAACGCTTTGAACATGTTACATTATCTTTGATAGGTTCAAAAGCAATGATAAACTCGAAGGCGAAATTTCAAACAAAATGCTCAATTCGATTCTAAATCAAGTTAAACAGTGAAAATGGATTTTGTTAATCATAACTGGAAACAAATCTTGTAATGCCTCATAAATATCCATAAATGTGCAACTCAAAGTCACTCAACATCGATTTCAATCCTTTAGATTTTCTCGAAACTCGAGTAAATAAAGTTCGATTGGCTAATGTTGAACATTTTACACATTTACAGATAATTTGATGTAAATTTGAATGAAACTGAAACATTTCTTCGGTTCTTTAAGATGACCATCAGAGCTTCATCTTCATCTCTGTTTCCAAATTGACTGAGAGTCAACATTTGGGTTTGAGTTATTTTTCAAGTTTTTAATTTTCTAACTTTGATTGATTTGTAGATGAATTGAAGTCAAAAATTGTTATTTAAATCAATTCATCAATTCTCACACTTGATCGACCAAAATTGGGTCAAAAAATGTTTTTAAATGTTGATTCGTTGGTTTCCATATTCGTTTGGGTAAAAAAGTTGCAAAATGTGCAAAACATGTTTGATCATTTATCGAATGTGCATGAACCTTGAATCGAGAAATGTACAAATTGTAATAACTGATTGATACAATTGTTGTTAATCATTGTTTCTTCACTTTTTTCAATCGTTTTCTTTTCCTTTTCGCTGTTTCTGTTCAATGAAGATAAATGTTATTTGGTTAAGCAAGAGTAACCATGAGATAAATAATAATATTATAAGATAATTGATTGAAGATTTATTTTCACTAAACAGTTTTATCGCCCAAAGCAAATGTATTTTCATCAGTCAACGTTTACCTTGCGTTATTTGGCTACCAAAATACTGTGAATAACATGATCAGATGAAGTGAAACCAGAAAAAAAGAGATGAAATAATAATAATGAATATGTTGATGTTGTTATTGATGATTATGATAACATTACTTTTTGTTTCTCTGATAACTAATAATGGAAACAGATTCACTGGGAGGAGAAATTATCGTCTAGATGAAAAGAGATGTGAGAAGGAAACAATTTATGATATAATCTTTATTATCATGCTAATCAGGGAAAATGAAAAAAGTAAGATTGACAGAATGATGAAGATGATGATAAAAAAGATGATAAAGAAGATGAGCAAAATGAATTGTCTCAGAATCGAGAACATGATATCATGAATTTTGTGCTCAAAAAAATGTGTTACTTGAGTAAAGAAGAAAAAGTTGAAATTGTTAAATTAATTACTTTTTGATTATTGGTTGTTAAAATTGCTATTTAATCCAATTATAATGAAAGCTGGTGAATTTGGGTTTAACCGGAAAAAAAGTGAATCTCAATTTCAGGTGGAAAATGGTTTTTACCTTTTCTTCATAAATCTAATTGGCTTACATGTTGACAAGTTAATTAATAAAATGACGATTAACTTGAATTGACATTGAAAGCTTTTTATGTTATTCAATCATTTGATTGTTGTTTACTTGTGCCAAGTAAACATTTGTCAGATTCATATTACGCCATTAAGATATGTTTAGCCAATTATTATCATCGTCATTGGATGAAAAAATGATGAAGAATGATGGTTGAAGAAGAGGAAGACAGTGAACTCACCATGAATATAAGAAGCCTCATCAACCAGAGTAATCTTTGCATGATTACCAGAACATTATTTAATATTGAGATTGGGAAGAAAGAAGAAGAAGCTTCCCTGTTGTTAGCATATTCATGGTAACAAATTGCTACACTAAACACATGAAACATCAACCTTTTTTCACCCTAATCATCCATTCTTATCATCATCATCTTCCGCCATTTCCACCGTCATTTAAAGTCAACCCTTATTATACTTGGAACCTTCTAATGTTGTTCAAGTTTTCAAATTAAAATTTACCTTCCATATACAATTAGATGGATGATAATCCACATTACAAGTTTAACTTGAATCAATCATCATTATAATTATGATTACTGTTATCATCTTAAAGAGTATCATGAGAAGAGTATTCAGATTCACTTTTACCTTCTCATGTAAGCTGTTGTTTCTTTCACTTTTACCTTTGGTAATGAATTGAATCCATCATTAAAGTGATGTTTTATTCAAGTGTTGATAACAGCAAATGTTTTGTTGTTGGTAAACACTTTTAGCCCTTATTAATACACAATTTGTAGTTAACATGAAATGTAAATTTGGTAAATGTGATCCTCTTCTTGCTTGGCAACTGTTTAACATTGGACATTTGGATTGGGTAAAAGTATACTAATAGCCATTGAATCAACCTTCATGACCATGTTAACCTTTTCACTTGACTTGATTTTATAAGATTAATCTCATTTCCGATTCAACTTTATTACATTAAATGGTTCAGATCTTTTAACTTTTCCTTTTCTTTTCTTTCTCTCAATTAATTTTCTTTTCATCGTCATTTTGGTTTTCCTTTTTCATTTTCAATTGAAATTTCACTCTCAATTCTGGTTCATCTAACACTGAAGAAGGCAAAAGTGACTTTAAATCAGTTTCAAGCAATTACCACATTCAAACACTTGAAAATGGTTCACTAACAATCAAAGAAACTGATAAACCCGATTCAGCATATTATCTGTGTGAGGCTGAGAATGGCATTGGTTCAGTTCTGTCCAAAGTGGTTTCCCTGACTGTTCATATTCAAGCTCATTTCAAATCAACATTTCAAGTGATGCGAGTTAAAATTGGTGAAATGGTCAACATTTCGTGCGAAGCTTTCGGTGAAAAACCGATCAACATCAAATGGCTCAAAGAACGAACTGAAATTGATTTTCTAAGCGACAGAAGGTGAGACAGCTCGAACTAAATTTATTCTTGAAAGTTGAACAGTCAAACGAAATGAAAGAACTTTATTTTTTCAAATATCCACACATTCCTTCAAATTAAGAAAATGTCAATTCTTGAGTTTTCACCCAATTTCAATCATTCACCAAATTGAACCAAATCTCTCTAACCTTAAAAAGATTATAATTCAGATTAAATTTCACCAAATCTACTTTCATAAATCAATAATCAAGTTACAATCCAATTCAAAGAAATATTAAAAGCTCAAAGCAAAGCTTTCTGCTTTCGATAAATGTAAAAATTTAAGCTTCTTTTTTATTCAATTTAACAATAAAATAAACTTGATTTATCCTTTGATTAGATACACTGTGAGTGAAAAGGAAACACCAACAGGCCTGATATCGAACCTAATAACTCCAGTCTCCACTCGCTCTGATTCCGGGAGTTTCTTGTGCATTACATGGAATCCTTATGGACAAAGTGAAATGACTAGTCGAGTGTTGGTCGAAGAACCACCCGATCCTCCAAGTGACCTGATTGCCCATGAATTTGGCAGTAAAAGCATTTCTCTTCGTTACTCCCTTCCTTATTCGGGTAACAGTCCAGTAACAAAATACATTATCCAATGGAAAAAAGATGGAGGTAAAGTAGAAGAAGAAGAAGAAGAGAAAAAAAGGATGTTACATCCTTTTGTAACCCAATCCATCTTCATCATCATCTTCATCCTTATCATCATTCCTCTTGTTTATCGTGATATATGAAACTCTCTTTTTTATCCTTTTCTCCCCATTATTCTGTCTCACTCATTCATCACCAATCATGTTGACCTTTTCTTTTCCTTCCAGATTCCATCAGATTTTATTTCTTGCCTCTTTCACCCATTCTTGTTCATCTCTTTTCCTTTCCCATCTGATCAGATTCTTTAAGCACACGACAGTCACAATATCATATACATGATGATTACAATGTTAGCTTCAAGATTTGTGTCCATCTGCGTCTTCCAATTGAATCAACCTTGCAGAACTTTCTTCATCTTCTTAATCCTACCCTTTGCCGTCATCTTGACTCAACTCAAATCATCCTTTTATCTTCCCTGTCACGGCCTTTGAGTGACCCTTTAACATCATCATGACAAGTTTCATGAGAAGAAAAGAGAAAAAAAGTAGAGGAAAAAAACTGTATCAACTATCAATGAGTATAATAATATCGTAATATTATCTATCAAAGTATGGCCAGTTTGCTTCGATTTACAAGTTGATTGCATTCTTTACAATCAAATTTAATTGTATAATATGATACTTAATTGTACAACAATTTATTGGGAAACAATTTCCTCAATTTTGTTCGTCTTCAATCAACTTCCGATTGATAGGATATTGAAAATTTTCACTCCATTTAGTAAACTCAGTTGCTGAGATTAAATTTTATATTTCAAAATGGAAAGCAAAAAATACTCATTTTGTACCTTAAAGTGAAACTTGAAAGAATCATTGATCAAAATGAAATGCCTTTTCTTGTTAGTTTACAGCAAATTTTCACTCCAACTTAAGATTTATTTATTAGAAGCAGAATTTTCTGATGATTCATCAAATATACGAGATGAAAGCAAGAAAATAATCTTAAAATCAAGGTAAATTTGTTCACCATTCTCAAGGCTATTTAGCTTTAGTTTGACCTTTTTTTCCCTTAACATATCAAAATCTATTGAACACAAATAAAGTTGACATCTTATTATTAGATCATAATATTGTATCAAAATACAAGGGAAAAGCTGAACAATTTTATCAAAAGCAAGTACAAAAATCAGATGAAAAAACAAAGTAATAGCAAAAATAAAAGGTAAAATGTTATTGTTACACAGAAATAGCGACTTTAATTACTGTTAATTCAATTTAAATCAAGCCTTGAGTCAACACAAAATTACTTTGATAAGCAAAAAAATAAAACCTATCAAGTTGAAGACAAAAAAGATGATGAAAGTGAATTCAATGAATCTTTATATGTTGATATACAACAATTTATACGCATCAATCATCGTATTTTATTCGGCCTATCAACTTAAATTTTGGCTCCTTTCTTGCCTCACTAGCAATCATCATTATCATCACCATGATCCAAGGTATAACCCTTGAACAGTCAGATTCATCTTTTCTTCCTCTTCTTTGACTTTCCTATGAATTAAGGCAATTTCTGGATCAATGAGTAAATCTAAAGCTATAAAGCTTACAAGTTTCTTAGATTTTTGCTCATCTTCTTGTCTTCTTGTCTTCTTGTTTCACTGTAAAATGGGCCACAAGTGAAACTGTCTCACCATTTATGCACAATCTTTCATCTTTCATCTTCTTTCCTTTTTTCACCCTCAACCTCATCTTCTCATCTCCATTCTTCAAATTTGCGCTACAATTCACCAAGACGTTTCCAAAATCATCTTCATATTTTTTTCTCATCTCTTACCAAATCCATTACATTCTTAACTTATCCTCATCTTATATTAGACAACTTTTTGCATCCCAGTTTTTTTTCACTTTTCTTGCCTTTTCCTTCTTGGCTTATTATTCCTTGTCTTCATCATTATCATCATCATCGTCAGCTTGATTGTCTCTCTACTTGTTCTCCATTGTGAGTGTGAATCTCTTTTCTTGCGTTTCCCATTGTATTTAGCCGTTAATTGAAGACTAATCAATCACTCAACCTTTTTTTCTATCCTTTTCATGGGTTTGCTTGGAGTAAACGACTTAATTATATACATTGATTGAGGTAGCACAGACATAATCATCTGAAATTGGAAACTCAACAAGAAATGTATCAAACTTGATATTATCCATGCATTATAAAACTGGTGATAATGAAATGTAATATTGCAAATTATACGAGAAAACGGCAAAGGGTTGAGATGAGAGAGAATTGAAAGATGGCAAAGATATTAGATGATCATGGTTTGATTTCAACGCTGATTGTGAATAGGAATACAAGTTGCAAGTTTTCGCTCTGAAGATAAGCTTCCGGGAAGCAATCGTCTTTCTCTCTGATTATCATTATTTTTATCATCAGCCTCTGTATATATTACTTATATATACTTTGTATATGTTGGTTTCCATCCCTTTATTGGTTTGATGTCTTTTCTTATTCTTTCTTTATCTTTTGCTTGGTAAGAAATAAAATTGATATTAATCAGGATAACATCCATCATTTTAAGCTTCCGTTCAAGTGGTCAGATTCATAGTGAAGAAAGAAAGAGATGATTATGATGAAGATAATGATGAAAATTCAGATTATTATTGAACAGGATAAATAGAGAATGTCTTTTCATTTCTGTTGGCCGATCAGCAAAGGATTTGCTTTCCATTTGAAATATTATATCTTAACTTGATTGGCGATAAATTGTCAGATATTTTGCTGTATCAATTGATTCCATTTTCCTGTCAACTTTATGGCTTACTTTTAATGAATCGGCAATTTAATGTTGACTAATGATGAGTTATCCTTTTCATTTCCAACAGGTACTTGGTCAAAAGCATCAACAACTGAAATTGACGGAACTGCCACTCAAGTTTTTATTAATGATCTCAAGCCATTAACTAATTATGATATTCGCATGTTTGCTGTAAACAATATTGGCAAAAGTGAACCAAGCAAAGTTATCACAATAACAACTGACGAAGAAGGTAACATTTCTACTTAATTACGACAACCCCGTGTATTACAACCAATTTGTTCATCTCTTTTCAGCACCGTTGACAAGTCCAGTGTCAGTTCGAGCAGAAGCAATTAGTTCAACTTCTATTTTGGTCAAATGGAAGGTATACCAATTTATAATCAATCACGAAACCATTTTTCACACCAATGGGCCTAATCACCATTTTCGCATCTTTCCCAACAGCCTCCGAAGCATATTGAATCCTTTGGTTCAGTTACAGGGTATTACATCGGTTACAAAGAGCTGCACACAGAGAAATCGTTTATATTCAAAACAGTTGAAAATAAATTAAATTCCAAGCTCCAGATAACGATAAGCAACTTGCGTAAATCAACTTCGTACATTTTTACTGTTCAAGCTTTCAATACCAAAGGAGCTGGACCACAATCGCCTGAAACAGTTGCCAAAACATTGGATAAAGACGCTCCATTGTCTCCTAAACTGGGGATTGTTAGTTTTACAGCATCAACAGTTACAATTAGCTGGATTCTTCCAATAGATTCAGAGGCACCCATAGGTAATTATATCTCCAAATTATCTAGTCAAATTATATGAAATTAATTAATTAACCATGCAATATTGAAAGCAAAGAGTCAAACTTGAAACTTACCTGGGCAGATTCCAGATTCATTAACAATCAAATAAGTATTCACATGTAAACAAAAAGTCTTTAACCAAAATAGTGGCAAGGCAGTGAACTTCCTGGTTAAATCTTATTCATTTTGACCTAATAATCACTTGCTTTGGAATAACTCAATTACTAACAGTCTTGAGAATGTATTAACACAATTATTTACATACAAAATAATAATTGAGAGATTAAATTAGCGAATCATTTAATTAGAGGAGTTGGTAAAATAAACATCATCTGTTTTATTCACACTAGCTAGGGGTTAACGATAAATTATGGATAAGATTACATAATTGACTAAATGGCTAATTAGAGATTAAATTTACACCTGATGGTGATAATTTACTGTAAAAAATCTTCTAATTTACTAATTGAAAACAATTTTCCAGGAAATTGAAATAATTTTAATTATTGAAATTAAAAAAACATTGAGATCAAAGAGTAAATTAAATTATTTGTGAACAGTCCCTAAAGTTTCCCGCTATTTGCTAAACAATCCAACTCTGCTTTGCTAAATTTTTATAACCGTTTTTTCAAATGAAATACAATTTTACATAGATAGAGTTAAAATCACAGTTAATTGCTGATTGATCTGAGACAAATGTCCAATCTTATTCCATCTTTAGTTTCACTAATTTAGAGTACTAATGTTAAACAAATTATTGATAAATTTTTGATGCTTTCATCTTACTGGATATAAAACATCTGTTCAATAGCCATGCTTTATATTTTGAATTTCAATTCTCGTTTCATTTTAAATGGTGTTTATCTCTACATCCAAAGAGGTTACAGTAAAACTTGGTTAAACCAAAGTGTCTTCATGAATGTGTAATAAATGGTTAGTCAACAAGCAGTGATATAAACGACATTTGATTTTTGGTAACATGATATTCATAATGATTGCATATCTTGGAAGTGTGACTCTGAATACAGACGATTTCATCTTTTTCTTCTTCTCATCTTCACGTTCTTTTTCGCTCTCTTTAATAGGATTCAAAGTCTTCCTGCGACAAAGCTCGAGTGATTTCAAGTCTCATGAGACAATAAATGATGGTAAATTGACTTCACATACCATAAGGTCACTCCATTGTGGAACCAAGTATACAATTTACATGGTATCGTTCAATGAGATTGGTGAAAGTGAACCAAGTGAAGCTTTATCATTTCAAACTGAAGGAGGAGGTGAGATAAATTCATAATTTAATCAAAGAAAATTCATAACCATTAAGAATAAATCATTATGGAAGCTGTGAAATATATTATTCCCTCTAAACAGTTTTTAAATAATATAGTGATAAACAAATCATCAATGAGTTAATGCATTAACAGGCAATGTTAATACATTGACAAAAACCATTAAAGCATTGGTTGAGATGAAAAATCATTCCTTGTTAAGCACAAGTTGAGTAATTTATTTTGACTCTATTTAGTTGATTAATAGCTACAAAACCATTTTGACATGAAATTTACAGGTTTATCAATGATTTTTTCATATTCATCTTAAGGTTCAAAACCTTTTGTCGTTGTTGGCCCTGACATTTGAACCGATTCCAAGAAAAAATATTAATATTTAACTTATATCAATAGTTATTTATCAAACTGAGCTAACAAAAAAAGACTTATTATGTTTTTAGTTTGAGAGAAAATTCATTCTGGTTGAATTTGTCAACTCGATTCAGTTACATAGATGAATATTATAATAGGAGAATGGCAAAAGGATCAAATGACATGGATTGAATTAATTGTCAGTTCAAGTTTAAGGCTTTTCATTCTTCAACCCGATATTTAATGATATTGCTAACAGTTAATGTATCTCATTTCACGATATTAGCTTCTATTGATTAAAAAACAGTTAAGCTTTCAATTTCTTAAGGCTTCTTTTTTTCGTCTGATAATCTTAATTGGGTTAAGACTGAGAATATTACATTTCATGATCAAATATCAGACCAATTAATTGTTTCTTTTCTCAATAATTGATATTAATATTCATTAGAATTGAATTGGGTTTGATAATTTTCCAGATTTTATTATTCCCTGTGAGTTCTTGAAACCCAATAAAGTCATTTTGGTCACAAATAATAGATTACTTGTTAACCATTCAGTTAATCAAAATGAATCTGATGTGATTAATGAAAATAGCCTCAAGGTAATTTTCCTGGTAACTTTATCATGTTATTCAACATGTAGAGAAAAGATTTTATTTTATGGGAAAAAAGATGACTCTAAGGTAAATATAATTCTAGTTAATAAGCTTAATCAAAATCAAAGGAATGTAATAGAATGGAATAAATCTTTTCCAAAATCAAATGTAAATGCCAAAAATAATGTCAATATTTCTTATTCAATCATTATCAACCAGATTCAAAACATATTGAAATAGAATCCATATTTAGCCCGAAATTTCAATCGAATCAACTTGAAGGCAATTTTGGAAATGGAAACATTCTGATTGTTATCATTTTATTTAAGCAAAAACAAAGTCTTTCAATGAACTTTGTGGTTCTAAATCATTAGACAGTTAATAGTTAAATAATAGATTGGATGACAATTTTGAGTAAAACTGATTAAACCAATTTCAACCCTAATTTTTGTTATTCCCAGATTATTTATTATCTATTCAACCTTAATTCTTGTTTTTCCTCTTTGCAACCATTTTTCTTAACAATCTATTAAGTTTAATGTTTTCCCTTCTAATGGTGATTGGTTACAATTAAAATTAATATTAGATTAACTCTGCTTTTCTCTTCTTTTGTTTTCTCATTCCTTTAGCTCCTATTGCTCCAGATAAAAGTTCATTGCTCCACATCAATTCAACATTTGTCTTTCTTCAACTGTCCTCTTGGCGAACCACTTCATGTCCCATCAACAATTTCATTGTACAATACAAAGAGCAGGGTAACACCGAATGGATCCTTGTATCAAATACAGTTTCATCGGTTTTGGATCAGTTTCTGGTTTCCAATTTACAGCCAGCTACATGGTATAATCTCCTCATAGCTGCTCAAAGTGATGCTGGTTCAACGGAAGCCGAATACTTTTTTGCCACATTAACTGAACAAGGAGGTAATCATTAGATGACAGTAGTTGAGGTCAAAATGGAATCAATTCAACTTGGAAAAGTGCATTATCTTTTCGTTTATTTCGATGTTCCGTTGCAATCAATGGGCTATCAAGGAATCTGATTTTTGATATTTTCTCACTCTTTTCCATGACTTTACCTTTTTCCAATCCCTTTTTCTCAATCCATCCTCATTCAATCATCTAATCTTTATCGAGTTAATTCAATCTAATCTTATATTCAGAGTCTGCCTTTAAACGTAGGTCATTAGATGACGCTGTACATCTCCTTGCATGGCACAGTATTCAATATTATATTCATTCATTTAATCTATTTTTATGTTATTTTATCTTCTTATTCTTACTCAGATTTCCCTTCAATTGATCGTTGTTTGAATCTTTTTTTGGGCCCAATTGATTGATTAAATTGTCTTTATCTTCATTTTTCTTCTCATTCTTTGTTTGTTTTTCTCTCATTCCCTCAGTTTCATGTTCATCTTCAGCTTATCATTCGTCTCTCTTTGTGTTTTCCCTTCATTCTTTAAATTATCTGTGAATAAACATACAAAATGTTCGAAGGCACTTAATCAAATGATCCATTTAGATCGATACTGTTCATAATTAAGAGTGACATACAAACCTTGCAATGATTTACTCTCGCCCTCAAAACTAACTCTGTTTTTGTTTATCTTTCAGAAACAATTGCACCAATGTCAGTCAGCTCAAACCCAGATGAACATCGTTTACGTCGTTATGTTCAAATGGTTTTACCAGTTACTTCTGTGTTTATATCTTTACTGGTTGTTGTAATATTCATACTCTTCTTTGGATTCAGGAAAAATCGAAACATGTCTGCTGTAACTAATCTGAGTAAGGAAAAAATCCAATAATATTAACAATATTATAATTCTTTCGACATTTCATTCTCACTTTTGTTATTTTGTATTTTGTTTCTTTTAGATGATCAAGTATCACCCAAAGCTGCTGATAATATTTCAATGTCTTCAACCAAAGTTGTCTATGAAACAGTCCAAAGAGATGAACGAACCAGCGTTTATTGTCCTTCTCCTTATGCAACAACGCGAGTCTCACTTTATTTTCAAGATAACCCAATGAAACTACAAACTAATGAAAACTCATACGACATGCCATTGCTTAAGGTATTAACATCGAGTCACCAATGAATGCACATTTGTCATGCAACTTTCCATATCTCTTATTATTCTCCCTTCTCGTACATTATCATAATTCTCAGTGAATTTTTGATTCAAGATCATCAACAACTTAATCCGTACTTGACTTGAGTTGACTCTTGATCTTCACCATGATCCTCTTTTTCAACCCACATCTTTGTAACCAGAAGCAACTCAATTAGCCTTGTTAAACGTTTGACAAGATTAATCAACTTTGATTGTCATCTTAACCTGATTTCTAACATTCTTTTTCTCTCTTTGTGACAGACTCATCCAAATAATCGCTCTTTATACGATTTCCAAGGTACAACCAGTGGGTCCTGTGAAAACAACAATCTACTCGATATTAATCATGAACCATTGTATCCAAGATGACATTAACAACAACCTAACCATAATAACATCGTTGATTCATATTTGTAAAAATATCAATTCTTCAGATCAATTAATTAGAGGTAGATCAAATGGATCCCACTCAACTCTACTGGAAACACTAGATTAACCTCCAAAAGAGCTTAAACAACATGCTATAATAAACTTGTCATCATATCAATGGGTGTTGAAAAGGTTAACAAATTAGGGGAAAAAATTAACATCATGGAATAGAGTATTACTGAATTGATGTTTGAACGAGTTTTGTTTTTAACTGCTGTTCATCATCATTCAGTTGACGGGATGGACATTCAAAGTACGAGAGTTTCATTCTAGGCAATGCTTGGATTGAATGATGACTTCCAGGCCTTTGTTTTATTTTAGCTATAACATATTGTTCAATATTATTCAAATATTGTTTTCATAATTTTAATATTGTTATCTAAGGTGTTCAATGAAACGCATCACACTTTTCCGGAAAACATGGTCTGGTTATGGAGTGATTATAGATGAAGCAATGAACTTCCACTTTCATTTCTGTATTAATTCTATTGTAAATTTATTTCTTTTTGAATCAGCATTTTCATTGCCTATTCAGTTGAAGATACTGAGACTGATTAACTTAAGAAATATAAAAAGGAAATGCTTTTCGCATATTGATTGACCATTTAACCGCTCAAGAGATGGTTACGATATTAAGCAATTGAATTAAATATGTGCCTTGTTTCAACTGATCAATCTTTTTACCCGCCATCTTCGACGCTGGTCCTCTGATTTGTTATTAATAATCAATTATACTTATTTGTATTTTAAAATAAAACAAATTATTTGAAGCCACCGTTCTTTGTATTTACAATAGCATCGCAATGTTAAAACAAGATCAGAGTTATTTGCTCAAGATTTTATTGTATCGAGAGGCCGTTTAAGTCTAGAGAAACACCTCATGTGTACCGAATCGTAAACTCTACTCTTCATCCCAGGCAAATGTTTCTAACGAGGGAAGTAAACGTAATACTTGAAACCGATTTGAATGAGAGATATTTTATTTATCCCATGTTGATCCTCAATAAAGTCAAACCTAGAACGATCATCTGTAGTAACTTGAGAAAACCGATAAAAAATCAGCGATACGATCTATTTCTTGAAACTTCCGAAACATTTTCGTTGAATTGTTCGTTATTCATCAAGATCAAGTAGAAATGGAAATACATTTTCAACTTTGAGAAAAATTATGTATTTCATGAAATCGCAAAATTAACTGCACTTCATCCAACCAAACAGAGTGGGCTCTTCTAAAGCCTCAAGCTTTACTGTAACTAAACTTGTTGAAAAATTGGATTTCTTGTTATTGAACAATCGCTATTCATCAGTTCAGTATTTACATTTCAAAATGAATGATCCAATGTCAAGATAATAAAAGAGACTCAAATTACTTACTTTAATGCCATTATAATCGAAGCAATATGCTGAATTCAGATTATGAATCAGAGGCTGGATTTCATCATCATAGATTTTATATTTCCTATTTCTATAAACATTTTTTCAAATTTTAACTGATTTTGACAGTAAAAAACAATATCCAAACTTTTGTCTGGCTTCATATTATCTTAAGTGCTAAAAATTTTTTTTTATTTTTGTCTTGTTTTACAAATTAAAAATCAGAGGTATCATTTACTTTCCACTTATGCTAATGTATCTTTATAAAGAGTTAGATGGATAAAGATGGACAGATAATGGGCATGGGAAAACAAAGTATGAAATGGAAGACAAAATCAAGTACTTAATCTGTTAAATTGCTCTTTAGTCATCAGGATCAAGTAAGGAGGGCGAATCTACATAATCTATGAGGAAACAGTATTTCATGAAATCAAATCCTCGACCAACAAAGACGCGTTTGGTTGATAAATGAGGCCATTTCTTTGTTATTTCAGCTCTATTTTGGTAATAGAGTGAAACTGAACGATATCTACAGTACCGGTCAATGTATTTAGATGACTTTTCAGTTACTTCTTTCGATTTGCTGAGATCAATAAGACTAATACGAGGAAGTAGCTTTAAGAGTTCGGGAATATTTTCATCAGATATTTCTGCTTCTCCTCTGATAGCCAAATGTTTCAAATTTGGATACTTGCTCAATATGCGTCTTAAAACTGACCAATCCTTAAATTCCCTCTGTTAGGAAGAGAAACAAGAAGTATTGTAAAAATGTGATTTTTAAATTATGGAAAGAAATCATACCTTACAGCAAAATTCGATGACTAAGTCTTCTAAGAAATAATTTACGATCCCATCGTCCACGAAAATTTCTTGACCAGTTTGAATAAAATGAAAGGCACTTTTTAAAGTTGGACAATGGTCTGCAAGGCTGAATCCGTAATATCCACCTGGCTCCGAAAATGTGTGGAAACCCATTTCCAATATCTCTAGCTTTTCAAGAACAGGTCCAGTATAAAAGTTGTCTTTCGAAGGGGCGTCTGTTGATAAGCATCAATGTACGCATATATTGAGTGAAATATAAACCAAGAAACAGATGTAACTTACAAATATAATTATCAAGATGAAGTCGCTTCAAGTTCGGAAAATATTTAGCATAACTGGACAACTTAGAAATATTGCAATTGGAAACGAGTAATTGCTCCAGTATCGGTCCTTGAATATCGTTTGCAAAAAAATCATAAAAATCTGGAACTGCTAACATTTCAATGGATGGAATATTAATGTTTTCGACCATGGTATCATAATATAAATTCAAACACAATCCTTTAACTGGCAATTTAGAAAAGCAATCCACGTCAAGACTTCCACTTACATCTAAGATCTTCAAAAATATTCATAAATTAATATGCTAAAACCAAACCTTTGTCTTGGTTTACATTGTTACTTGTTCAATAAACCAACCTTGAGGTTAGGAAACCATTTGTATATTTCAATTTGCTCTAATCGATCATCTTCCCTAAAGTATATCGTACTGGCGGGATAACCATTCCTTCTCGACGCATCTGTATTCAAAACATGGGTATTTATTGCTATCTTCATTGGTTTAAAATATTATGTTCACATTAAAGTTTTAACTCACCTGTTAAGTATTTAACACTGAGTAATCTTCTGAAAACCAAGTGTTTCCACCTTTCACAGACTGTTGATAGTTCAAGATTAATAGGGTTTGTAAAGAATAATAAACAAATAACAGTTAATTTAATTCAGATGAAAGCTATATTTACCTTCTGAGCAATCCAGAAGAGTACCAAATCCACAGAAAAGATTGAAAATATATAATAAGCAGTCATCAGGTAATTCATCGATATTCATTTTAGCAACTTGTAAGGACAATGTCAAAACCAAAACGAAAAAGACACAACTAAAAATTAAAAAAAGTCGGAATCGAATGAGTTATGAATAACGCAATGTAGTTTGTAATGCAGAAGTAACTTATGTTCATAATTAGTGTAAATAGCTCACTCCTGCTATTCATCGAGCTGTATTTTCAGAAAAAGCTTACAAAAGTTTTTGATCTACTCAATACAGGGTTTTAAGAAAGTTCGTATGAAGGGCGGAGTATCAAAATGCGCTAAGAAATAGCGGTTTCCTAACAATAAATATAAATCGATGGATATTCGAAAAAATTGATGCAAATCTTTCTTATTTCTCAGGTCAAAAATTTTGATAAAGTATCGTTATTTTCATCATTTTTTACATCAATGCCAATTTTTGAAAGAGATGTTTTGACAATTTCAACTTTTAACTACTTAGTCTTTCCATTTATATGAATATATACTAGGTCAGACGATCGATCGGCATAATCGGAGCGTGTTTCGCAACAAAACGGTATCGTCACCTTCGAATTTGTTTTGTATATGTCTGAATATACCTTTGAAAAATCTGCAATTAAACAGCGGCCGAAATTTTCAGTGTATCAGAATATATCATTTGAAAGCAAAAAAGATGCTAAGTGAAATACAAACAAAAAAACCCCAGAGATGCATAGCATGTTCAATTCTCCATTTCTTGTGAGGGGCGGAATATCAGCTTCCTAACCATAACATCAAAAAACGTATAATGCGCAAGGAAAATGATTTTTGTCCCTCACACGAACTTTCTTAACACCCCGTAAACTTTGACAAAAATCGATGAAAAACGACAAAGTTTTTCTTTCACCGAAGAAACGTCTTCCACAATCGAGAAGAATTCAAGTTTTTAAGAATCAAAACAGGTATTCAAGCTAGTATATCAACGAATATCTTGAGCACATTGAAGTCACGCATATAACTGCAAACCACGATTGAAAGCGAAATTTCCTAAATAGTCATAAAACTCAACTATGCTACAATAACTACTTACTTTTTATGAATAGACAAATATAATTAATTATGAAATTGCAAGAAATTATAGACTTCCTAATTAAATAATGAAGGATTGATAAAACTTTTAAAATATCCTTTTCAATTTAAAATTGCTTTAAATTGTTGTGAATGCGTTTTCGAATGAGAATATTAAGCATACGATTCAGCGACAGGGCAACTATTCAATATGGAAAAATTTTAAAATTCTTTCAATCAACCAACAAAACTTTTCAATGTTCGTTTTGGATAAACCAATGAAATAGAGTGTCATATCAACCATTACTGTACGCTAAAGAGCCGATGCTTGGAATTTTGAATTTTCACTGAAACGAACATTTTTTCCCTAAAGTCACCCACCAGATACTACAACACTGGTGAAATAGCTTATTTTCTGCTCGGTGTAGTTCTGGCTTTAAGCTTTTTTTTGAGTTTTAACAACTTTTATTACGTTTTAAGCTATATCCCGATAACTGCATGTTGAATTACGATGATATTTTTCGAAGTAGATGCAAAGGACTCAAAATTTTTTTTGAGACCTTCAAATGACCTCTAAAGGTCAAAATTCGAATTTCCGACAAATGACCTTGAATGACCTTGAAATTTTTTTCAGACATTCATTGTGTCATTTGTAGTTTTTATACCAAGTAGCGATCAGATCGCGCGAGTATCTTCATAGATAATGCGGTGAACGTAAAAATTTGAAGTGAAATTTTTTGTCGGTAACCTGAGTTATAATCTCCACTTCGTTTCACTACGCTCCGATAAATATATATTGCTTTAGCTTCGTTCCTTGTATATCGTTTGCAAAAAAATTACAATAGTCTGGAGCTGCTATCATTTCAACGGATGGAATATCAAATGTGTTTTCAACAATACTTTTATGGCTTTTTTGATCTGCCAGGCTGAATCCATGATATTCACCTGGAGCAATTTGAGCGTGAAAAACCATTTCCAAAATCTCCAGCTTTTCAAGAACAGGTCCAGTATAAAAATTGTCGGAAGTGTAATCTGTTAATAAGCATATACATATGAATATTTAGAGTATCCAATGAAACAAAGAAAATAACAGGTGTTCAAACGGGTAGGTTAAACTTTGGGGCTTTATATCTCGAAAAATAGGTGCACGATCGTGGTCATTTTAATTTTATATTAATTAGCTTTACCAGGAATTTGAGAATGTCTTAAAGACAGAGTAATTAGAAGCGAAACAAAAACGCTCGCCCGACTCGAAAAAGCAGTTTATAATGGGATTATAACATTTTAATGGAAACTTGTCAAAAATTTATAGCTGTATTTTTGAAAATCGTCTAATAGCGTTAATTTTAAAAAGGTGAGTGTATTTTGAGCACACATATCATTAATTCCTGATAAAAATCTATTTATATACAAATTTTCAGATCAATAAACAAATCCGTTCTAAAGATATAGCCGTTTACTTTTTGACCTACCCGTTTGAACACCTAGTAAATTAAATATACTCACCAGTGTATTCCTCAATATGGAGTCGCTTTAAATTGGGAAAATATTTAGCACATCTGGCAAAATCTGAAACATTACATGAACCTATGTTCAATTGTTTCATTATTGGTCCTTGGATCTCGTTGGCGAAAAAACTACAAATGTGTGAAATCACTAACATTTCAAGCGACGGATTATGAAAAGTGACATTTTCCAAGCCTTTGCAGTAAGATGTCAATACTAGTCCTTTGACTGTTAAAGTTGTGATAAAATCTACGTCAAGATTATCGTAACTAACAAATAAAATTCAGAGCAAAATAGATTTTATATTTTCATCGGAAACATTGGCAATGTCATTTTAATTTTAACCTTTCTTTACGATTAGACTAACCTTAAGATTAGGAAACCACTTTGATACTTCGGTTCTCTCAAGTTCGTCATTATAGATTAAGGTATTTCCAATAGGATAGCGCACCATTATCCCATCATCTAAATTAAAAAATGAATGAATGAATGTCAAAGGATTGTTTAGTGGTGAAGAGTTTATTATGATCCATAATTTATGAATCAAACTTGAAATAACAGTATCAGATGATCTGAATACGTGTGAATAGCTTCTTACGGCTATTTATCGAGATGTGCATTTTTGTTTCACAGCTAAACCAACAAATCAACGGAAATCGCTATTTGTACTTTTTCATTATAAAATTAGGGGTAACAGTTTCGTTTTACGGACAAAGGCGTGAACTTTAAAAATCATCCAATGGTAGACGTCTTTTAAGGGCGCTCTTTATGAACAATTGAATTGAATGAAGCTAATTAAGGCCCCAGGCCGACCTAAGCCCACCCTAACCTTACCAAACCTAACCTAACCTAACCTAACCTAACCTAACCTGACCGACCAACCAACAGCCCCTTGATCTAACTTACCTAACCAAAAAATCATATGTTTTAATGTTCACGCCTTTGTCCGTAAAACGAAACTGTTACCAAATTAGGCTTCGAGACTATTTTTACTCGAAGAGCTTTTCTAGTACCATCTCATGTTGAGCTCTCATTTAGAGTTTAATTAGAGCTATTTTAGTTTTTTTTAATTAATTAGACATTATATGTGACACAGGTCTAAAAAATAATTGCTATTTAGCCATATTAATCTAATAAATGACATAATTTAACCCGTGTGTTTAAAATTCAGTGTTTGTGTGAAAAACTGAAAGTTTACTCAAACAGGAGGAAGTTTATCAAAGTAAAATACGAATATTATCTGAAAACTCTCTTCAATTTCTCATTATTATATAAATATTGTTATTAAATCAGTAATTCTAGATATAATTGTGATTATCACCAACGATAGTGCAAAACAAAACTACCGCCAGAAGCTGGCCATCCAATGAAATCAAGTATCATCTTTCAAAGTATTGAATCCGAGGAGATAACTCCTGTGTAAAAATAGGCTTTACCCAAATCAACACACTCATTAAATCGCAGCTAACAAGACTTATAGCAAGACAATCAGTATTCATTCAAGAGCATCTTTTTTAAACTTATAATCAATGAAATAAAAACATCGAAAATAAAAGAGACGATACTATAGCTAATTCTGGAGCGGGTTGCTGGTCAATTGTTTGTCCACTTGTGCAACAATTGAATGAATTCAATTTTAGAAAGTTAGCAAAGTACAACAAAATAATGAACATTGTTATTAAATAATGAATTATAATTAAAATATGATTGACTTTTTGTTAATGGTTCAAATCGAGCGTTAAATTAACACTCATCATTTTGTCCGTATATTAACTATAATAACTAAACTGTAATAATTTTACATCTTTAATTGCTTTAAAACATTTTTAACTGTTACCAAAATTTTCAATTTTTGCTTATCTTTTAGTTGCGCCATCTAATGGAGAAATAAAAATCGATTTGTTTGTAGCCAAGGAAACAAGAGGGAATATGTTTATTTTTGAATTTGATTCTTTTGATTTCTTGTTTCTGGTATTTTACTTTATCAAGTGATACCATCGGCTCGTTTATTGTTAAAGCTTTATTTTTTAGTTTTTTGATTTTAATTTTTCGCTTCAATATGATGTCACAAAATATTAAAGTTTATATTCGATGTAGACCCTTGAAAGAAAGTGAGACCCGTAATGACCAGCTAACGGTTAAGAAAGAGAAAAAAGAGGTCATTTTGAAAGACAAGACTTTTCTTTTTGACAATGTTTTTGGTGAAGATTCTTCTCAGATCGAGATATATCGTGCTGTCTTGTCACCTTTGATTGACCAAGTTTTGGATGGATTCAATTGTACAGTTTTCGCTTATGGGCAGACTGGAACTGGTAAAACTTTCACTATGGAAGGTGAACATACACCAAACTGTTGTGATTGGCAAAGTGATCCACTGGCTGGTTTGGTTCCAAGATCATTTTGTCAGCTATTTGAGTGCTTAGATGGACGTGATTGCACCATTAAAGTGTCTTTCCTTGAACTTTACAATGAAGAGCTTTATGATTTATTAGCTCCATCTGATGAAATCACCAAGCTCAAAATGTTTGATGACATAAACAAAAAAGGCTCAGTTATCGTTTGTAATTTGGAAGAAACTGTGATCACAACCAAAGATCAAGTTTATAAGCTGTTACAAAAAGGATCAGCTAAACGTCAAACAGCCGCTACACTGTTAAATGCCTGTTCATCTAGAAGTCATACTATTTTTACAATTACAGTCTATGTTACCGATGAAACTGCTAATGGAGATGAAATGGTTAGAATTGGTAAATTGAACCTTGTGGATTTGGCTGGAAGTGAAAGTTTATCACGATCTGGTGCCGTTGATCGACGAGCAAGAGAGGCCACCTGTATAAATCAAAGCTTATTATCTTTAGGAAGAGTAATAAACTGTCTGGTTACCAAATCAACTTCTCATGTCCCCTATCGGGAATCAAAATTGACACGACTTCTGCAAGATTCTCTTGGAGGTAGAACTAGAACTTCAATTGTTGCAACTATATCCCCATCAGTTGACGATTTTGAAGATACAGCAAGTACCTTAGAATATGCTCAAAGAGCAAAGAGGATCACAAATAAACCAGAGGCTAATAAAAGAATCAACAAGAAAGCGTTTTTGCGTGATTATGCTGAAAAAATTGCCAAACTTCAAAAGGATTTAACGAATTGTATCAACAAGGAAGGAATTTATCTCGATGGAAATGATTACAATTCAATGATTGATAAAGTTACAAAACATGAAAAAATGATGGAAGAGATACAAGGTCAGATTGCTGCACAAATTCAAGATATGGAAAGAGTCAATAAAGATTTACAAGGAACCAAGAAAATTCTTCAGCAAAAAGAAGAGGAACTGGAAAATAAATCTAAAGCAATGCAGCGCATATTAACTTTTGCTGAAAATTCATCTAAAGATGCGTCCATATTGTTCAACAAAGTAAGCAAATTGAAAAATAATGAAGCTAATAACAAAAAAATCATCGAGCAACTGCATAATAATCTTGATCAACAAGACGTAAACTTCGATCGAATGTTAGAATGTCGGATGGAAGAGTTGCAGGATAAAATCGAAAACAATGCAAAGGTTTTACGGAATAAACTATCGGAAATGTCAGAGCGTATAAATAAAGACAGGAGTTGGATATTTGAATACATCGAAGACTTCAGACTACAAGTTGAGAAGCGGTTCATTGAAGAACAAGAAATTGTAAACAATTTTGCAACCGAGATAGATGAGTATTCAACTCAATGCAATGAAATGTTAAGTAATATGAGACATGAATTTAGGAGAGAAAATCGTTACCGTAAAATCGATTTACAAAAGCTTACCCGTCAATTAGTCATCGATTCACCAACAGGCAAAACACCAAGAAAAATAATTCGTCAGATAACTGATTTGCCGCCAATTACACCTGAAGATGCTTCATTGTAAATAAATAGTTAAACAGCAAAAAAAGAATCAACTCAACTTTTTCAAATTGTTATGATTATTTTATAAATAGAAACGATGCTTTTACTTTTAACTACAACTTTGTTTATTGTTTATTATCTTGTGATATTTAGTTAAATAAAATTGAAATCAAATTTAAAAATTGCATCACAACATCATATGTAATTCGTGAACAGGGCTATAAGTGTTTGAATGATTCATGTAACATTAAAAGAAGCACGAAAATTAGTACTGATCCATAAATATATCATGACTAGGTTAACAAAGAAAAATGATGATGATCAATTTCATCTAAGCTTATTGACTAGTTTAACCTCATGAAATGTAATAATTTTGATCGGGCGATAATTTTCGGATTGATAAACCTAAAATGGTTTTATGATTAAATCATTGTTAACTCCTAATATAAACAAAAGGAGAGGATTATGGAGTAAAAAAGTCAAACATATTTTGGCTCCTAAACATGGCCCGCTTTCAAGTTCAAATAAAG